GGTTTTTAACCCCCCCCCCCCTTTTTTAAGTATTTCTAAGGGAAGATTTTCATGGGGATTTTGTTTGTGTTCTGAAACCCGCCATCATTACATGAAATGAAAAGCATTCATTATTGTAGAACGTCAACAGCAGTGCAGGAAACATCTGCCCTTTACTACCACAGCAAAACTGGATTTTTTGTTGCTTCCCCCTTGACTACCCTAAAACATTCCCACCATAAAAAGCAGGGGGCTTATCTCTAAAAAAGAATAATGTCTAGATTGTTGCTTGTATTGTTTTCAGTTTGTTGCTTTCACCTGGTAACATGCTGGTGCATTCTAGTGAGAAGTCCATGGATGGCAGGGGCGCTTCCTGTAGGCTGCATCATCACTAATTTTGGATGTCAGATCGGCAGATCTTCATCCATTTGTGTTGCTGTTATTGCTGTGCAGTAATGAATGCTTTTCATTTCATGCAGTCGGGGTGGGTTTCTGCCATCCGTGGACTCCTAACTGCCAATATTTAGAAAGCTCTCCTTCTGCATATGCACAAATCTCAGAAGATTCAGAATAATGCAAGATGTGGTCTGTAGTCTGCAGAAATCTCCATTTCGTTTTTGTTTTCTTTCATTTTAAAGTAAGTGTCCAATCCTTAGGATTAACAACAACAGTTACTTTCAAGGGTGGAACATTTGAGGACAGAAGAGTGTCTGGGTGTTCACATGTCAGTTGGCTGGGACCTCATCTCTCCACAAGTAGCTTAGAAAAGCAGAGTGGAGGAAGTCAAAAGCAAAATTGGCTAAATAAATGAGGCAAAGTCAGGAAACATGCAGGCATGCAAATTGTGTGCCACTGAGGAATCAGATCACAAACCTGGCATTTCTTGTCGCTGAAGCGAGATTCCTTAAGTGCAGATGATTTCCTGTGCATTTAGATACACGCTAACATTCCTTTAATTCAAGCACCAGCATTTTGAACTGTTGATCAGTGGGCAGTTTTACTCCAAGATGGAAAGATGTTGTACCACTTCAGAGCGGCTGCAATGTCGAAGCTGCTTCAGCACCGGGAGATGTGGAGTCCAGGCTAGGTACATAAAAATAAAACCAGTCAGTAAATTAAAATAACAGCTGGAAATACATTGCTCTCTAATGCCCAAGGGATATGCTTTGTGCTGGGCATGGCTGCAGGTCAGGGAGAGAATAACTGCCTCAGGAGCAACGCAAGGACTATATTACTCATATTAGGCAGGAAGAAACCGAGCGGGGCAGAAAGTGTCCACTCAGTGGGGAAGAACGGTTAGCCCTTTCTCTGTCTACCATGCCGGTACAATACTGTCAGAGTTCATCGCTGGGGATACTTTTTATTAGAATCTCCCAAAGTGGCATGGAAGGGTGTACAGTCTTTTGAATTCTCCAGAGCTGTTGGTCAGGCAAGGTGTTCCTAACAAAACAGGATGGGGAAAGAAGTTAAATAAGCCCTTCGGTTTGGCCACATCTTTCATGCATGAGCTCTGCAGCTCCAAGTCAGTCTCAAGGTGATGGTTACAGGCTAGATGTAGAGTCAGCAGTGGGCATTGCTGGCATCAGAGCATGCCACATTTTCAGGGGAGGGTGGCTCCCCCAGAGCTCTGCCCACAGTCTCTCTCTTATCAGGATGGGCACCTATTCTAAGAAAGAAATAAGGAAAGGTATTTAAAAACTATTTATTTGTCAGGTTGTCCCACCATGTATTTCACTCTCTGTTTGGGGTTTGATTAACATTCGAATGCCAACAAAACCATTTCAGCTGGGAATGAATTCAGACCCGGTAGAATCCTGGGTGAATTCAAGATGCTGGTTGTCACCTTTAAAGCCCCACATGGCACAGGGCCAGGTTACTTGTGGGACTGTCTCTCCCTGAGGGT